ATCAACATTACCCAAGCAATACCTGGAAGATGAGTTTCCTCTTAAAGGACGGGGTCCCCGGTGTGAGATCCTATGTTGGGAGGGAGGGTACCTGGAAGATTTCCTGTAGCTGGCTTCTTGAAGATCAAGCGCGTTTACTGAACTCCCTTTCTGGGTTTACCAACCTGCTTGATCCCGTGCTTTTGATGTCCCTCGCTTCACCAAAAAGTCGATGAGCTTCGTATTCTAGGTCCTCCCCTACTAAAATAAACCACAGAAAAAAGGGTACCCTTATTCTAACCTCTCTCCTGGAGGACCTAGTATTTGTTAGGGGATTCCTTCTGCATTTCCCAGTTTTTTGCTCCAGAGGCGTGGCGGCCGTTTCAATTCGGAAGCCACGGGCACAGTGATCAAACGCACATAGGCACCTGTGTCGCTGATTCATTCGGAACCGCACTTTTGGGGGGGATTGGGGGAAGGGGAGGGCTCAAACGACATGGGTTTCCCTATATTCGCACAGACATATTTCTATGTATACTGTATGTACTTTCACGTATAGTTGTTCCTGTGTGATAGCTGGAGCCTGTTCCTGACCCTTTCAGCAAAGGCTCTGTGTGATAGTTGGCTTCTGTGTGGTTTCTTTTTTCAAGCCAACCCAAGAAGGGTTATCCCAGAAACAGGCAAACCCCAGTAGGTTTGAGCCTAGGTGACTCGCCACCAACTTTGCCGAACAGGTAGGGGGATCCCATATCGTCGCACCGCCTCAATCAAATGCACAAAGGTCTGGAGGTGTTTGTCAGGGCCAAGATCTATATCGATGGTCTTTCAGGTCCGGTAAGTAGGTTACCATGGTTTACCTACAAACAACACAGCGCAACGATGCCCAAAGCTAATCGACCTTTTGATCTTTTGGCTTCCCCATTGTGGATTCCCATTTTAGTCATGGCAGTCACGGCCCCAAAAGGTTAATCTTCCATGTTTGGGTCCCGAAGGTTAAATCATCCTGTTTGTATTTGCCAAGGCAGCCCATTTTGGGGTTACCCCTTCACTGTCCTTGGCATGTTTCTGAGGTTTCAGGTTTTTCGGCTTTCTTCATTTTGTGCCACGTTCTTTTCATTTTGAGTGGGTCCGCAAAAGACCAAAGGTGCTTTGCCTACCAAGGGTTGGACAGACAAAGAGCCTCTTGGGCCAAGAAATAAAGGCCAAGTTTCAGCTCCGAGGCTGGACTTTGGCATCGTGCTGACGCTGATCCACGTGGGGGTACTCCTCTCTTTGGGCCGGCTTTGTGGCTTCAGCCGCGGAGATGCTCGGAGAACAAATTTCGGCGGATCAGCCTCCTTCCAAGTGGTGGTTTGTGGTTTGGTGGTTCAGGAGTCCCATCTACCTTCTACAAGAGCCAGGATCAAATCCAAGTCCAAACCAGCAATCCAAACCACCAATTGGAAGGAAGCTGAGCCTATGCTACCCCCAAAGCCTTTCAAGCCAACAGCCGCCACACGGGTCGTTTTTCTTTTTGCGGGTACCCTTTTTTGCGGTTGGTATGCCAGGGGTTCAAGAAGCAGCTTTGCCAAACCCAGTCAAAATAAGTGTCGAGCGCTAGCAGCAAAAGTCCAAGCCAAGAAACACCCTCGCCCACTTTGTGACTGCGTCGTTTCCCGATTTTGAAGCCCTCGTTTTTTGGTGGACTCGTTTGACACATAGCCATGGCAATTCAGAGGGTCATGATGGCCGAGGAGCTGATGGTAGCGAGCTCGGCCAACATCGGGGGCCCGGCCACGGCCAACTCCCTAGCCACGGCCACTTGGCGCGCACCAGGAATTCCCCACCAGAGAAAGAAGTTCAAGACACGTTCTGCCCAAAAAGTGGTCCCAACTTGCAGGATATGGCTGTGGCTCAGAACCAACGGGATCCCATTTTGGGGTAGGCGAATTCACCACCCATCTTAGAACCTCTTTTTCTGTGCAGATTGGGATGTGCACTGGCAGGCAACGATTTGGATTTTTGACCCATGGCCATACTGTGGAGGGACAGAATCCTAGCACCACCTAAGAAACCCTGGAATGATATGATCCCCTGTAAATACCAACAAACAATGGTTTCCAATGGTGTCTTGGGTGGTGCGAAATGGATTGCGTCCATCCATAGTAACTTTACATTTTGAGGTTTACTAAATGTGAGGTTCTTTTGATGAGGTAGGGGTAGGTTCCGAGGTGGTTTTGGCCATATGAGTGTCGGTCAAAAATAGGCACCCAATTTTCGAACCCTGGTAAATGGAAACATGGACCAAAACCTGCGGTTCCAGGGTGATTTCATTTTGACCCATGCCCATATGGTTGTGGCTCAAAAAGACGTGCCCAAAATGGGTGTGGGTAAATGGAAACAAAGATCGAAACCCTGTGTAACCCTGGCTCTTATTTTTTTTTGACCCACACCCATATGGTTGGGGCCAGCCTTTTTTACACCCATCCGGCTGTGGTAAATTTCGACCCACGCCCATCTTTAAATTTCGACGGGCCAGCGGTTTTTGTTCGGAGCGAGCGCCGCTAGGCCAAGAACCTCCACTCCCTGCGGCGCCCCGCGCTGCTGGTGGGCACCTTCGGGCCACTCGCTCGAGCGAGCCAGAGAGAAATTGATTCGACGGAGGGTTTGGGGACAAAATCTTCCATGAGGTTCACCGGTTTGGGGACAGGGACTCGGACATGCAATGGTTTGGTCGGTTCCATGAGGTTCACCATTTGTTCGCACTTTTTGATGGTGAAAGGGGCTGTATTGCAAGGCAAACCAACCCGAAGTTGAGATCAGCCCATGCTTGATCGATTTCCATGTCTTATTTGATTTAACCCGGCATCACTCGCCAGGGCCTTTTCCCCCCCTTCTCAGCTATGAGGAAAGCAATCGGCAGAAACCAGGGTTGTGGGATCAAGGGGTTTCTCGCCACTGTGATACAAGGGAATCCCCCTTAGTAACAAAACAAGGTCTTTGGGAAGCCGTTTCCGCTGTATCACAGAAGTGGTCATTCTCCACAGCCCTGTTGCTGAGTGCACCCAAAGGGGGGTGGTTTGAAGGGTCTGTGTGTATGTGTGTGTGTTTGTAGAAAACGCCCGCTAAAGAGGGGGTGGTTTAAAGCGATTTGGTCAGCTAGGTTGTGTTACTTGGTAGAAACGATGGTGTGTATTCTTTTGAGGGCACCCTCTTCAGGTTGATTTAAATGGAGACCAAGAGAAGAAATATCAATTTTGTGTGTGTGTGTGTGTGTTTGCGTTTGTAGAAAACCCCCACCAAAGAGGGGGTGTTGTTTAAATGGACCACTTTGACCCAAGACAGTCTTCGTCACCCCTTGATTAACCCTATGGGCCTATGGGTGTACTGACCCGCTCGGTCGGAAGTGAGAAATGCAACCACCATCAACAATAGCAAATTCAGAGCCATGAGGAACCCTGCCAGCCTAACAACGACTGCACCACGACAAATGGATACACATTGACATGGGCTTGTCTTTTTTTGGAGTTGGTACCCAATGTTTTGTGGTTTTCTACTGGGAGGTTAGAGGAACACTTATCCATTTTGAGGAATCCAAATCCATAAAATAAGGCGAGCCATCCAAATACCCAGAGGCTCCTGGGGCTTTCAATGGAAGACCCACCTTTCCAGTAGACACCGGTCTCAAAACCTGGCTGTTTGAGGGCCCTAAATACATCGGGAGCCTCTGGGTAGCGACTAAATACTCAGTTGTTCAGTGGCATCGTTTTTCCATGTTTTTGGTGGCTGCCCCAAAAGTGGTCCAAGCCCCAAAAAGGGTTCCCTTTTTTCTCCAGGGTCGCTGAACAACTGAGAATAGTAACTATCAGGAGCCACTTTTCGGAATGACCTTAGCCATGCTTTGAGTCAGTAGTGGGGCGAAAGCTTCGCCCGGTGAAAACACGGGGCCTGGAGAGCGGGGAGGGGGTTCCGGGCTGAGCTAATTTGGCTTCACTGTTCTTGGCATGTTTTTTTTTTGGGGGGGTTCTGTTCATTTTTACTGGGGGTGTGCAAGAAACAAAGTTGTTTGCTACCATACCAAGAGTAGAGATGTTGGGCTCCCTCCTCCCCTCACATTCTTCCATGATATTTACTTGGCTTGATCAAACTCAGTTGCGTCCCTTCCCCCCCACCCCTCCCCCCCCATTTTAACAAAAACAACCCAACGAAGCACCACGTCCTCCTGGCGCGTTGCTACAGGAATGCTATTGCTTCTGGTCTGGGAGTGGGCATTTTCCACTTGCTGAAGAAGCTCCATTGAGCGTCGCTCGCTTTGCGTGCCCAGTTCCGTGAAGATGTGGCGGCCGGCCCGTTGGGGGGATCCATCAACGGAGTTCGCTTGCAGCTTTAGGCCCCTGTGACATCTTGGGACCAGTTGATGAATCCCCCCGCTCGGACAAGTATCGAGAGAATTGGCCGACCGATTCGGTTCCGTTCGGTCTCTTGTTTCTGGCCGAATTCTCCAATGGGTGGAGCACGCATGTCTCGGGACGTGAAATCCATCCATTTGCAAAGGCAAATGCTAAGGTCAAAAAGATCAAGCGGGCTCGGCTTGTCTGAATCGTCGCACGCTGGCTGCACATTTACTGTCCGACACTTCGCCTGCTTTCCACCTGATGTCTCGATTTGGTCACCGACACTCAACTTGACCCTATCGAAAACGCTGGAGACTCGATGATTTGCTCACCACATCGGGTATTTGGCTAAGGTGTTTTTTTGTATGACCCCCAAGGATCGATCTCGTTTTGTTGTTGATTTTGGGTATGTGGCTGTGAAGTTTTGCTACTTCCGGGCAGGCACGGGGCGCCTAGTTTGGGTGTGGGACCCCATTGGGACAGGGCATAACCAACCTCAACCCACCCCAAAGGAAACGTGGGGGACCCTCCTCAGTTGTTAGATTTCGAGGTCATTTTTTCCCCTAAAGGTCGACCTTCTATGTTCCGGCCAATTGGGCAAGTGAGAAAATCCTGGGGAAGGGTTGGGGGGGATGGAGCCGCTGGCAGGAGGCCAAGGGAAACGAGCGCAACAAGGTGCACTTCGGAGTGCTCGACACGGCGCCTCGTTGCTGGCAGAGTTTAGGGGGTCCCAATTTGGATGATGAAACTCCTTAAGGTAAACAATGGCGGTTATATGAACCCCCTTTGTTTACTGGTGGTTTCACCCCAGAAATTGGGGTTGAACAGCTGTTGCTTCGTCGACGGGAATTTCTGACTGCGCGCCAAGGGGAAGGGCCCAGAAGCGCCTACAACGTCGCTTCTGGCGTAAGGCTTTCACCCAATGCACGCCCTTCCATTTGTTTAAGAATATGTTCTTTCCGCCTGTTGTCTTGAGGGGATTTGATCACTACTGGAAGTATGTATTTTTCCCAAGGGGCTTAAGCAAATGGAAGTACCCTCTCACTTGAATATTTCACTTCCACGGACATGTTCATTTGCTTAAGAATATTTGCCCTTGTTGGCTGCTTGCTGAGATGAACATGTTGATATGGGTGTGTCTTTTTTTGATGGTACCCCTTTTTTCCCAGGGGACTTAAGAGCTGGGGTTCAGTGTTGGAAAACCCAGGGATATTCTTAAACCAATTTGCAGCCGACGGTCAGCATGCTGGAGTTTCAAGAGGATGTCCACCACACCCAGACCGCTGCTTCCGAGGGGTGAAGCCAAGTTTGAAGCCCGGTTTCGTTGACGCCCAGAGAGGAAATTCACCAGGGTTCCACTTTTTGACTACCCTCAAATAGACTTCAACCCAGGGGTGGGTCATGTACCCCAAATAAAGGAAACGCCTGGGTTTAAGTCTATTTGCCGGTAGTCAAAAAGCTCCGATCCCTGAAACTCACAACAGCTCCGAACCCGAGAGCGGGGGAGCGGGGCCCCACTGCTTGCTTTAAGGCTTAGGGTGAAAGGTGATATCTCCAGGGGTACCTCTCCCATTCTGAACCCAGGCATCCTTCATCTTTCTAGAAAACCTCCAGACACCCGGGGAAAACGGCGATCGGTCTTCGAACAGAACGATGGTTGAAAAGAAAGGGGAAACAGCCCCTAGAATATGAGTCACTTTGGCTAGCTGTAGCCAAACCATGCTGTTCAAATGCTGGACCACGAGTGCAAGCCAATAGTGTTTGAAGAGAACAAAGGGTGAAGAAAATGGAGAATAGAGAACGGGGAAGGCCGATATAAATCTGCACAAGCATTTTGGCAGAACCGTCCCCCACTTCAACAGGCAGTTCCCCTGCTATTGCACGTTTGGCAGTTGGAAGACCCCTTCAATTGGGAAGCCAAATCACTAGACCCCCTAAACTGCCAAACTTGTTTTGGCATTTGAGAGTGTCGGTTTAATAAAGGACCCCCCCGCAACGGTTGGTTTCCCTTTGGCTTCCCTCAAACCAACCTGAAACGGGTTCCCTCAAAAAAAGGCACACCCATTTGAGTGGGGTCTTCTATTCTGCGAGGTGTCTGCGCTGCTGCGGGCGGAGTCTGGTTGCCGCTTGGCCAAAGTCGAGAGGACACACTTGGGCGCCCTTACGTGCCGATTTGGGTTCCCTTTTTTGCCAAGGAGCACGTAAAGACAGGGACCCTCAACAAAAAGCAACCATTTACAGGATCCAAATCCTTCTAAAGCAAGTGTTGTTTTCTGATGATCCTCCCAGAGCCGGAATCAGGCCCGTAGGTTCTGATTTCACCGGGAGACAAGTGAAGAACACATGGTGGCGTGGTGTTTCAGGGTTTTCGTGCCCGCATTTTTTTGTGATTTTCCTTGAGGTTCCCTTGAAAACCGCAACAAAAAGGGGCTACACGCAAAAAAGACATATGCTCGTTGCCCAGGGGAATGTAATGACCCAGGCCCTGTTGCAAGAAGATTTGGAGGCTCGTCGGTCTGGATCTCCCAGCTGAAAGGTAAGTAATAGTCAATTTGTTTGGAGCTGAAAGGCAGGTAATAGTCAATTTTTCGCGGAAATTTGCCCTTCCTCTCACGAACATGGCACTTGCGGGGAGGCACCTGTGAAGGGACCGCCTGTCAGGTGCGTGGGAGGGCAGACATTCTGTGCCAAAGTCGGCCAGGTACTTAACTTTCAAGGGTTTCTGACTTGGTATCACCCACCTGCCAAAGCAACGCATTTCCCATTGTGGCCTCCCTTGTGTTTCCTTTGCTTGCCTTCGGGAAGCAATCAGGGAGCCTTGGAATGAACCTGTCGGAGTCCTCTGAAAAACCGCTGCAGGCAGTCAGGCCCATAGCATGTAAAACGAAGACACAACAAGCTTGAGCAAGCGGGAATGGTTTAAATGGGAACCCTCCAAACCAATCCAAACCACCAAAGAAACGGGATGAGAAAAGGCAGCCCCCATACATCTTCCAAATTTCCGGGGAATGCCCCCTTTTTCTGCCGGCTCGGCACTTTCCCTTCGTTTTGCGGGTTTTTTCCCCCTTGGATACGATACCCCAAGTCGGGCCCATTCCGCAAGCTGCCTTTGACTGACGCCGGCATGGCAGTCATCTTTACCGCCTCACTAGGTTCCCCCAGTAGTGCCCTTTTACCTTTTTTTGTGGGGAGTTTCCCAACTAACATAAACCACAGAAAAAAAGTTGGTACTCTTATTCTAACCTCTCTACTGGAGGAAGCTCGCCAGGGGCAGTGGAGGACATCACGGGCTTCATCACTCTGGGCCTTGAGGAGACCTCGGGGCCCAGGATCCGCAAAGCCGCCATCTCGCTGGCGGAGACCGTGTACCGCCCTTCGGCCCTTGGCGTTTTTCGCGCTTTTTCTCGGCTTCGGTTTGTTTTGTTGGGCGTGCGGAAGCGGTTTCCGGGGCCCCGGGTTTTTTGTGGGGGCGGGCGTCGTTTTCCTTCATGTGTTTCATCCTTGGAAGCAAAGACGGCACGGGCATTCTGGGGCGTTTTGGTGGCTTTTGTCCTTGGAAACCAAGCAAACTACGGTTTCCCTCAAAAATAATGACAAACCCATTTTGGGGCAACCCATTTTGGGGCAACCATTGGTACTTCTGAAAGTTCGGGGCTTGGACCCTGAAACTGAGGCTGCCCTTTTGTTTCTCTTTGAACCCCATCCAACAAGCATGGATCCCCAACTTCGCAAACCTCTCGAATGCGGATGGGTGTTTCTTGGATGCCGCAGCCTTTGCTCTGGTACTCTTGGAGTGCCCTTATACTTACCTCTTAAAATCACAACTTTTCAACTTTTTGGGTAACATGGGCTATATGTCTGTAAAAGATGAACTTCCCCAATCCTTGGAGTTTTTTACGGGGTAAGTATAGTATCCTAGTGGATCCTAGGCTCACTCCCCCTCGACTTCAGAGTGTCCAGCTTCCGAGCAAGGTCCAGGTCCAATTGGTTTGGATTTGAACCCGGTAGAGCGACATGCAACAAATGCAGCGGCAAACGGAAAAGCTGGGACTTGGCAAATCCACCCGACCGGAAGTGAGTAGGTGGGGGGTTGGTCAAAAATGGGAATCCCCAATTTGGGCCATGGCCCAAAAGGGGATGGACGAAATCCTGCACCACCTAAGAAACCCTGGTCTCTGATGATTCCCCTGTAAATACCAACGCACGTCATGGCTTTCCGTGGTTTCCTAGGTGGTGGCGAAACGGATTTCACAACCATCCACAGTATGGCTTGGCAAAACGTTTTACCGTTTACCCGCAAACACCCGAGGTTCAACATTTTATACGGTTTCCCTAACTTGGTGGCTTCCAGCCATCCCCTTAGCGTTTTTTTGCCTTTTAGTGTTTAGTGGTAGTTTCCATTTAAGCCACCAAAAGTTAGTCAGTTTTAGCGGGGGATCTGAGGGCAGCCCAGCTAAGGGGGACCAAAGCTCGGACTACTGGCTTGGAAAACCGTTTTACCGTGTACCCACCAAATAACCCGCGGTTCCATTTGTTTATCCGGTTTCCCCAACAGACCAAAGGTGACCAAAGGTGTCCCATAGGGACTGACCAAAGGTTTCCCTTTGAAGGCAGGTTTCCCATAGGCCACAGAAAACCACAGCGGACCAAAGTAACCCGTTGGTACCAACGCCTGGCTTCCGCGCCTAGGGCTGCGTGGCGCAGAGAGCGCGGAGGTGCTGTTTGCCAACCTGCGCTCCGCCAAGCGGACGCACGACCGAACTTAACTCGCCTTTTTGATTTTGCCTCGTGTTTGTTTGTGGTTTGTGTGTTTTTTGTTGTTTTTTTATGTGTGTTTTTGCCTTTTCGCCGTTTTTGTGGGCTGTTTCGCTTTTGTTGTTTTGTCTGTTTGGTTTTTGTGTTTTCCACCTTGTTCAAGGGTCATGACACCTCCAATGCACCCCCTACGGGCCCTCCGATGGAGAACCCCGACCAGTTCCTCAAAAGCCCTGGAAACAACCAGTTGTGAGAGCCCAAAGTCATTTGGGGGTCCCTCGTTTTCCAAACACTTCATTTGTTCCAAAGGTTAGCCTCATTTTTCCAGAGTAAACATCTCGTTTTGTTTGGGGTTCTTTTATTTTGGAAACAAATCCAAACTCAGCTTCCTGCATTTTCTCCAAAGGTTCACTCCAAGTTTCCTGCCCTCAAAGGTCAGAGCTTTGTTTTCTTTTCCATTTCCTTCAACTACCCCCCAAAAGCTCCAAAGACCCGGCCTTTTTCAGGGTATCATGTCGACCCTCTACAAAAAAACAAGATGTGTTTACCATGGAAAACCAGGTTTTCCCCAAAAAGTACCCTGAAAAAAGCGGGTATTTTGAGTAGGGGATAGATCCCATTGCACTGGTGAAACACCTCAGGAATCTGCTGCGGCAGCGTTTTGAGGAGGTGGATGAGGCTGGACGGCTGGACGAGAACCTCTTATTTTGAGGGTCTCTGGGGGAAAATTGGTTTGCTTGGTGCGCACAACTATGGAATGGCGTGGTATCCCCACCCCCTCAAGAATGGAATTGAAGGAGGGGGGTGATCCCTGGAATTCCATTTGTGGTTCCATTTTCCCTTTGATGGGGAAGACTAGATAAATGGAATTGGGGACCCCCCACCCCCTTCCCCATAAGGTACTCTGAAACCCTTCTGAGCAGGGCAAAAGCTTGGACCAAGGATTTGTGGATAAGGGGGGTTGGTTTGGCCTTTCGAGGAACTACCGCGTAGCGCGTGAAAGATGTGCCCTCTGGGCTGCTCCAGCTTATGAAAGCCCCAGGCCCGGAAGCATGCGACACCTCAGGCCAATGACCCGGACGTCTCAAAGCCGTGCTGAGGGGGCCCCAAATCCATCACGATCGAGGAATTCTTGTTGGCAAAGTGGGTTACTTCAAATCCCAGCTGAAGGCTATGGTGTCAGGCCCAAATAGCTGCATGGTTGGGAAACATTTTACATGTGTGCTTGTGATTTAGTGGTTGGAATCCAACCGCTGAACTGCTAAAATCTGAGAATTTTTGCTCCCCTTCCATCAACCAAGATAGCACCTCGGGCCGGTGCAATTTGGGAAACGCAGCGAGGGAGGGTTGAGATCCGGTTCCTTTCGGGCATCCGTTGGGGATACCAGCTCTGATTTTGGCGATTTTGGCTCCAGGTCAATGGTGGGTGAGGGAGCTAGGGCTACTTTAAATATCCAAATTTGGAGCAAAGCTCTGATTTTGGCCGATTTTGGCATTGTTTCCGCCAAACACCGAGAGTGAGTTTTTCGGGCCAAACAGGATCTTAATGGTGGGTGAGGTTGGGGTTCGCTGTCGGGGCCAAGGAGCTAGGGCTACTTTGAATATCCAAGTTTGGAGCAAACGAGCCCACGGTGCTGAGTCTATCATCGAAGAAAGTGGCAAACCTTGCGTTCAATTAAGTGTCACCCCAGGTATATCCTAACAAATGTACAACTTAAGCACAATTTGCTATTTTGGTGGGAAGGTCGGGGTACACCTGCACGGGTCCCCATATGAATTTATGAGATGGGCAGGAGCACATGAGAATGGCTAGCATTCAACTCCCGTGCTCCCTCCTTTTCCTAGTTTGCTTGCAAAACAGGCCTCGCATTCTGTGGGACAATTGGGCACGTTGTGCAAACACAACCTTTTGAGCTTTTGGTGTTCCCTTTTTGGTGATTTGTTAGTCCGAAATGTTCAGGTTTGTCTCCAGGTCCCTTGGTGATGTTGTGCTGCCACCACACTGGAGGCTTGTCCGGGACAACTTCAGTTGGAGGTTGTTGATCTCAGTTGTCCAGCACCGACCTGACATGACCTTTTTATTTTCCCATGTTGGGTTCCCTGTTTTTGTCATGGCAACCCAAAAGGTTAACAAATCACCTTGTCGTCATGGCCCCTTAGTAGTCACCTTTAGTTTACTTGGCATCACCTTGCTTCTGGGGCCTTTTTTTGGTCATGGCCCCAGTTGTTTCTGGGTCCCGTTAAAAGGGGCAACTGTGAGATTTGTGTCAACTTCGTCCAGGGAATCACCAATGCAACTGAGAAGTACTCACTCCTGAGTTCCTGCATCTTCTACTTTTTGGGAAGACCACTTTTAGTGCTAGATGAAAAGTTAGGGCTCTTTGTCCAATCCACTCAGGAAGTGAGAAATACAAGCCCCAGGTATTGATTGTGACCCCTCAGCGGAAATGCTCCAGGAGCAGCGGAGCGAGGAAGGCGCGGAGAGACGCCGGCCGCCGACCAGATCGTACCAAAAGGGGGAACCAACATGAAACCAACCATTTATTCATGACCCCAGTCACCTTGTTGTTTCTGGGGCCCGTGCCAAACTTTGATGTTCAAGCTACCTAATATGTTCAAAGCGCTCCTCCAACAATTGACAAGTAGTAGGATATATATATATATACATGTATGTGTGTTTATTTACACACAGAACAGATGCAGACAATATGATGTTTGCAGCCCAACCGGGGTCACCCCCTTCATGGTATTCAACTACTCACCGACGCCCTTTTAGCTGAGCAGATGGTTGGACCCCTCTACTTGTCCGCCTTATGGGGTCCGTGTACTCTGTTCCCTTCGGTTGTCAACCACACGAATCGAATCCTCCAGCCAGCACCACAAAGGCATTCTGGGGGGGGGGGGGGAAAGGCGGGCCTCAGTTGTTGAAGGCGAATCGACCTTTGAACCTTTTGGTTTCCTCTTCTTGGGCTTACCTCTTCAAAACACAACTTTTCTCAACTTTTTGGGTAACATGGGCGAAAAGTGTCTGTAAAAGATGAGAACTTCCCCAGGGCGCAGGGAGTTTTAAGGGGTAAGTGGGGTTCCAACAGGTCAACCCGCGATTTCCCGGTTCAGGGAGATCACTGGCCTTGTGAGAACGCGTCCTGAGCTTCAACTTGTTGCGTCCAACACGAAGCCCCAGCAGTCAAGCATGAACTAGATCTCCCCCAGGTAGGTGCCCTTTTCAACCACTTTTTTGGGGGGAGGGTTCCCCTACTACAACAGACTACAGAAAAAAAAGGGGACCCTTATTCTAAGCTCTCTGCTGAAGGACCTAGTGAAAAGGCTGGTTGAAACCGCGACAACTTCGACGCCGTGCTGAAATCCTGGATTGGCATGTATTGGCCAACCAGGTCTCTTAATTCCCCAGTTGCCCCTTTTCTCAACTTCTTTTTGGGGAAGGCTTTCCCTTTAAAGCCAACCAACCAAAAAAAAGATGCCCTTAACACCAATAAGCCTCAACACGCGCGCAATACCATGCCGGATACTCGATGAAGCCCCAGTTCCCTTTTCAGGAAGACCAGAAAGAATGGACTCCCTACAAAAGAAAGAGACCCCAAAACACGATGGTGCACACAACAAAATCTGTTTCGGTTGCCCATTGCCGCTTAAGAAGGGCTCTGGCTTCCCTAAACTGTCTACAGAGGCCAGTGTCTTCCTAAGTGGCTTACATGTGTCCTTGAGATCCTGATCACCCTTTCCGCTTCCCGTTCCCTCTAAAGACTTCAAAGGCGAGTTTTGGATGCATCCTTCAACCGGAACCCTGTCAGGAACATAAAGTATGCTTAACAAAATGTTTCTATCAGAGGAAATAACTCACTTAGCCCCATGGTAACAATTTGCAGATCCCGCGACATTTGGCGATTGATTTTAGAGGATGCTTCTACCCCAACTCTGGATTCCTCTGACAGGGCAGGGTCCCATAGAAGGACACCTCAAAATTACCTGCATGTAGAGAGACCCTTTGAAACGCTTTCTGCAAAGCAGCTACAGCTTGTTAGTTGTGTTTATGTCTATGTTGTCAGGGGAGGCTTCTGCGCTGGCCAGGACATGCGTGAGAGCCCAAAAAGGTGAGGCTCCCGACACCCGCCATTGGCTGGAGGACAGCCATGACAACCCAAAGCTTGAGGCTTCTACCAGCGGACAGGCTAAAGCCTGGCCAGCCGCGGCCCGAAGCCTGAACCACCGCCCAGTGACAGCTGTGCCTCTGACAGCCGAAATTCGACGGACAGCCGCGACAGCCCATGACGGACAGATGTGACAGAGCCAGCTGTGATAGAGCTTGTGAACCCAGATGCCACGCTGTGACAAGCAAATCAGATGGAGGGTCAAGAGGCCCGCCTGAAGAGCTGCGAAGGCACCAAGAGAATGCCTAGACTGCTTCGCCTTCGCGTTGTCCACGCGGCCCTTCAAAAGCGTCTGTGAGCTTCCGCCGCAAATGCTTGTGCTCTGCTTGCGGGCATAGAGCAGCCGCCGGCTAGATTCACAGAGTGGGATGTTGAGCACGCTGCAGCACGGAAAAAGCGTAGTGTGTCACTTAGGTGGGGGCCGTTCAAGCAAGCAATCTTGTGGGATGTACGCTTGCAGCAGGGAAAACAGCGTAGTGTGACAGCTAGGTGGGGGACTTTAGAAGCACAAGTCATTTGGATATTTTTGCTTCGGTTGCCTAGAAGTTGCCTCCCAGTGACTTTGGCTCAGCCCCTCGAGGCGGCGAGGAGCGCCCGGATCTGGACGACTTCCTCTGCGCGGCGCCGATCCGGGCCTTGGCTTCCGCTTCGGCTTCGGCTGCCCTGCCCGGCGCTGTGCCGCAAGGCGGGGTTCCGGATTCGCGGGAGAGGGGGGCCGCTGGCTGAAGGGATGGGTTTTCAGGTTTCAGGGTCTCGGAGGATTTTGGGGTGGAGGAATTGCTCCCTGATGTCCTGGGCACTTATGGGTGCAAGTCCTTTTTGTCAACTGATGTTTGGGGGCTTCGGGTTCCGGTTAGTCAAAACGACTTTGCCCATGGCCGACGGTCTGGGCCCCCGCATTTTCCTAGCTTTGCCAAGGCTTGAGGTGAAACTTAGTTGCCCAAAGCCTTTTGACATTTTGGTTTTCGCGTTTTGGTCCATTTTCAATCATGGCCCCAAAAGGTTAACCTTTTAGTCCCAGGTCCTTTGGGCAACAGAGGCAAAGCACCACCTACCAACCAACCAAGCAACCGGCCAACCAAGCAACCAACCAGCCAGCAACCAACTAATCAACCAATAAACCAGGATTGTTGGAAAATGGATGGTTGAATGGTTGATATTGTTGACACTAGCAAGAGGTCGTGGGCCAAGAATATTAGAATGGGGTTATTGCCAAGGTACTTAAAAACAAGAAAGGCAGGAGGTAGGTCACAAGAGAACCATGTGTGGCTTGCCGTTTCCTACTCCCCTAACCCAAAATTGGGTGGTACCCATAGAAGAAGGTTCATCACATTCGCATGCCAAAGGTTATTTGTTTCTGCAGAACCCTGTGGTTGAAATCGATGTCTTTCTTTTAATCAATGATTCCAGCCGACCCTGGATTTCCCAAGTCTCAAGTTCGACGGTAAACTGAGCCACAAAGAAAAGACCAGGGCCCAAAGTAGGTTTCTGGAAGCCCAGGTGAGGAGGAGAGCCTCATGGACGGCATTCTCGAGGACTGAGCCTAGGAAAGCCGTAGGGCCAAAGCCAACTTTTTGCTACGTAACGGACCCCTAGAAGTTCAGGTACCGCCATTCAAGCAAAGGTCGGGCTAATCTAACCACCATTATTTTCCCAAGCAGCTTCATCATTCAAATTTGGTCAACCATTCTTTTAATAGGGGTTGCGCCCAATAGGATACTGTTGATGAGCAAAATCTTGTTGGGATTGATGCTTCACCCCAATATTCAGGTCGGGCTTCATTCATCCCAACTGGTGCCGCCTTTCGTTCACAGCGCACATACATGAGGCCCCCACGCCCAGAAAGGTTCTCGGAACCCTTCCCAGCTCGCGTTCTCGGATCCTCAGCTTCGGCAGGGTGCATTTGGGTTTGTCCTCACTCCCGAAATTGAGGTTTTCCTCCATGTTTTGATTGTTAACCAACCTCAACAAAAACAGCCGCCCATTTATATCCTTGACAATGCCCCAGTTTACTACTGTGGATGGACGAAATCCTGCACCACCCTTGTTGTGTTCCTGAACGGTCCGATCTCTGGATTTCACAACCATCCACAGTTTTGCTTTGTAGCTTTCCTGCGCTGAGTTGACCGGACTCGCGCACCGCTCTGCTGCCGCTGAGCGTGCGCCGCAAGGAAGGGTGAATGAATGCATGTTTTGTGGTTTCCTCTACGTTCCCCTTGAAAACCAACCAGCCTCAATATGCCCTGGTTTACTACGGAAACTCTCAGAAGGGAACTCTCCCCTCACTCTGCGTCTTCGACGATGCCACAGCCATGCCGCATTGCCCAAGAGCTGAGCCTCTAGACCCGCGGTCTAGGTCTAAATGACTTTAGAGGCTGGGTGCTGAACTGCGATCTTGAGCAAAAAGTGAGCTGGATACTGTATTTACAGCATTTACATATCTAAAGCTTCTCTATTAATATCTGTATATATATATGTATGTTTATATCTATAGTATATGTGTAAATGAGGGAACCCCCAAAATGAGTATCTGCCTTTGCCCACCCTTGGAGGAAAGCACCAGACCGCAAGTGCGGAATTTTGTACAGAAGCCAGCGAATACACGGTGGACGCTCTAAACTTTTGAAAGTAAACCACCCACACTCAACCGCAAAACAATGGAACATTGCGGTATTTTTGCTTTTAGTGTTCCCATGTACATACACACACATACACACACACATATATATATATATATATATACACACGTGTGTGTGTGTACATAAATGCATTATGTACATATATATATATATATATATCTCACAATATGTCAAACATAAAACCTCCACACAGAAAGCATGCTCATTTAGGCCATCCACCGGTGTGCGCGCTTTTTCGCTTTGCGGCGAGCATTTTCCAGGAGACCGGCCTGGTCTTCCAGGGAGCAGGCATCGCCAACGAGCGCCGCGGGAGGAAGTCGGTGTCCTTCTGCCAGTTTCCGGACGCCTTTCGGCCGGTAACATGGTGGATGTGTGGTTGATGGGCCGTTTGCGTTGCCTGGGAAAGCGGAAGGAACACGGTTCTTGGTGTGTTTTGTTCTGTTCATTTTGACGGGGTGGGTGCTACAACAAAGAGTGTTTTTGTTGCTACCATACCGTGGGTAGAGATGGAAAGGAACACCTACCTACCCTTTTGGCGAAGCCTTCCTTAGAAACACATACCCTGGTTCAAAGCCACAAGGGGAGCCATGAACAAACTCCTTGGTGGTTCCCCAGTGAAAATACTTGGTGGTTTCTCCTAGGCTTCGCAGGAGAGAAGCTCACTTGAGCCACAATCAAATCCGGGCAGTTGAAGGTCAGAAAGGACCAGTCCCAACCAGGAATAGGTGCAGCTGTCCTTGTTGATTCTTTACATGCTTCTGGGATTACGACCATTTTAACACCGGGGGTTATGACTCACTTGTCCAACGCGAATCGACCATTTCACCAAAAGGGTCTATGTATCCCAAAGCTCTCAGCTCACGTCCAAGCCGAATCGACTGGATCCAACCTTTTGGTTGGTCCACGGTTCGTCCAGGTGCCAAAACGCGATCACCGTTTTCTTTCGCAGGTTTTGGACCCTCAGGATGCCAAAAGGTGACCGCCTTTTATGTCCAGCTCCTTTGGGCGTGCAAGAGACCCTTTGAACTTGGTCCATGGCTCCCTTTGTGGAGATGGGTGCTTCTTTTGTGAAGGGAAGTGAGCTCGCCGATGAAGAGCTGCTTCATGGGGGGCTGTGTTAGTTCGGAAGTTGGAATTGAAGCAGTTCGGGGTCCTTTCGGGTAGGACTGTTTTTCTTGCAACATGGGGGGGGGCCTGCAGCACCAGTAGAGGGCACCAGAGACCGGTCAGTTTAGATGAATATCTCACTCCTTGAAATTCAAGTTGAAGGCAACAAGTTCGAAGTTTTGTGGGCCAATCCACTCAAAGAAGTGAGACAGTGATTCCAGCGAGACCCATTGATGCTTCCAGAAGCAAACCTAGGGCAGGACTTCTCATCTGGGCCAGCTAGTGGCATCACCCCATGGTGAGAGACCTTGCTGATGGCTGCAACGAGGAGGCGAAAATGAGCATAAGATAAAGAAAGCATTCGCAGGAACGAATGGGGAACCTTGTGTTTGGGACTGTTTTATTAAGTTTGGTGTTCGCAGCTGAGGATGTTGTGGAAGTCGAGCATGCGGTGGATGAGGCGCTTGCCAAGTGGATAAAGAGGGCTTTAACATGGCTCTTTGCCGGGCAGCAACTACTGTACCCACCGGCCCAGGGCAGCCACATGGTATCCTAAGTGCCCTTGTTGGCACGGGCGATTGGCCAACCTTGAGCAGTGCTGGGTTTTGCTATTCAGGGAGAATAAGGCAAAGAACAAGTGGAACTTCCGTGGTTGCTTTTTGGCTCAGTCAATTGACAGTGGGCCTGGTTTCAGGGTTGTGAAGTTGGGAAGCTGTTTGCACCTCTCCGCTGAGGTGCATAGGGTCGTGGTCGGGGTGGGGGGAGGATTTTATGTCCACGTGTATTTAGTGTCTTATCATTTTGTATGCAACATCGACAGACATTACCACCAAATATGGGGGCTTGAGGGCCCATGGGTCAGCGCCAGCGATTTCTGTGTCCCTTTTCCTTTTTGTTTGGACATAGATGGGGGCTAGATCGGTTTTACTCAGTTCTTCCAAGCGAATCGACCTTTGATCTTTTGGTGTCCTTGCTGTTGGTGCATTTTTGTCAAAGTTCTAAAAGGTTGCCCTCCAACAATCACAAAAGCTGACAGGAGGGTTTTGGAAGACGACTTTGGGGACGCCCCTGGTCCACTTCCATTGTTGGAAAGAGGGACACCTTTATTTGGGCAAATAAATTTGTGACCCCAGGCCCAGGGTCACCTATGTTTGCATCATGTGGAATCATGGAGCTAGACAGGCGGTGAGAGAATACCTCCGTTTTCCGCTTTAGTCCTGAGTTGCTTGATGTTGTGTCATCCAGATGGCTATTGTCAACAGCTTCTCTTGCAAGAGCATGCTGGGATGCTGTGCTCGCCAGCTCGAGGGACTTGGTTGGGAATGTGGCACTGCTGGCCGGAGTGTTTCAATCCATAATGTGTGACTTGCTGGTTCTGAGCAGGGGATGAGGGAATCATCCCTGTAAACCCGCCCTGGTGGCTTTCCACTCTAGGGAATCTTCAGGTTCCTTCCACAGCAGCAAAGATAGCCGTGGCCATAATGAACACAGCAGGTTGAATAGACGACTTAGGACGAATCAAAATTGAATATGAATGTGCTTCAATCACCCCCTGTTGGTTCTGGTAGGGATCTATCACTACTGCAAATTTATATGTTCTTTCCAAGTGACCTAAACAAATTCAGCTTCCCACATGTTGGTTAGGCTTGAGGTCCCATTTACCCCAATCCAAGAACCAGGCGTTCAGATCACAAACTAAGGCTCACTTCCTGAATTCATGGTACTTCTTGGCAAGACCCTTTTAGTGGCAAACAAACCGTTTGCTTACTTTTGCTGGCCACTGCAGAGGTATTTGCTTAGATCCCTGGAAAACCAAAAACACATATCTATGCCCTTTAAAACCAAGAGGGAAAAACCAACAGTTGTGAAGGGAACCCACCACTACTGGACATATGTTCTCCTTGGGTTACCTGACAACTGGACGTAATTTCAGCTTCTGGTCTCCTGTTGGTCCATTAGTCAACCCTTTGGTTTCCGGGCCCTTTGGGCAAATGAAAAGAGAGGCAAACACCCACAGAAAAACCCATGGGGGAAACTCACGGAAGTGGACTTAAGCAGAGGGACTTAAGCAGGTGGACTTAAGCAGATGGAAGTAAGTGTTACCTGACAACTGGAAGTGGTGTCACCTTATGGTTTCCTGTTTTTGGTCCATTTTCAATTGGGGTAAGGGAAATTCGTGGAGAACAACTCATCCATTGGCATCAATTCATCCGACCAGGACCTCTTGGAGCACGAGGCCAGTTCCTTAGGCCTCACCGATCTCGAAGATGAGGAGGCCATACTCCGAGAGCCACCCGGCTTTTCAAGGTTCCCAGTCGGTTTGAGCTACCAAGAGGTGGGAGTTTTTTGTTTTTTTTTGCCAACTTTTGGGTGTGTCGCTCTCTCTTTCTTTTTCTTACTCCCTGAGTTCCTGGACGTGATCCTTTTTGGGAAGACCAGTTTAGTTTTGAAAACAAATAGTTGAGACTTGTTTTTTGCCAATCCACTCAGGAAGTGAGTTTCAGGCGAACCCCCAAAAGGTTGGGTTTTAATGTTGGTTTCCCTTTGAAACCACAAAACAAAGGCACCCTGAAAACCAGACATGTCTCTCAAAATTGGAATCGGTCCCCTACAGTCCTTTTGGCCCATCAAAAACCAAGCAAAAGGGGTCAATCGTTTTGAGGAACTCTCTATGCAGAAGGGAAAGAGAGGGTTTAACGGAATGAACCTGGGAATCCTATTGAAGGAAACGAGGGATGGTTCAGTTCGGGGTTCCCTCGTCTGCTGAGAACCAGCAAGTTGTTCGAAGCAATCGCCTTGGCAACCCCGACTAACAATGGTCAATCTTCCATCGTTCTTTTCAACAACCAGCTGTTTCTTCAGGCTTTTGGGTGGTTTTGTAGAAAGAAGGATGCCTGGAAAGAAAGGCACCCCTAGAAATTTTCCTGTGAGTGGTCAAGGCACCCTTTGCAGTGAACAGGCAGTCTGCCTTTTCATTTTCTGAATTGATCTGAACTGATCTGTTGGTTTCCCCATGGCGCGTTCCCATTTTTAGTCATGAGTCATAGGCCCAAACGGCTATATCACCTTTGGGCCCTTTGGACAACTTAGGATTAGTCAGGTCAGAAGTCTAACCTTTGTGGTTGCAAGTGAATTGATGTTCAAGATTTTGTGGGTGCCGCCTGCTTCCACTCCATTATATTTTCCGAGAGCTTGGACAAGTCGGAAATGCGAGTCTGAGGGGAACAATCATGACCAATGCTTCTATAATTGCCACACAACCCGAATTCTCATGAGTTTCGCCCTTGAAATGCTCCGGTAGTATGATTTATCCTTACCTCTTAAAAACACAACTTTTCAACTTTTTGGGTAACATGGGCGAAAAGTGTCTGTAAACGGTTAACTTCCCCAATCCTTGGAGTTTTAAGGGGTAAGTATCAAGACGTGAGCACATTCACAGGATCAACGAACCCCTTGACAATGGGGGGAGCCCCCCATTCTATTGGAGGGGAACCGAAAGCTTTTCAGCTCATTGCCCAAGCCGAATCGACTGGATCCGGCCTTTTGGTTTCGGTCCATCCATGGTTCGTCCGGGTGCCGAAACGCGATCACCGGCTCTTTAAGGTTTTGGACCCTCAGGGCGCCAAAAGCTGATCAACAAATATGGCCGTGGCGACCCAAACCATGGAGCCCAAAATGGCACCAAAAGGTAAATGGAAACAAGGACCAAGACCTGCGTAGGCCTAGCTCTTTACTTTTTGAGCCACACGCATATTTCAAGTGGCCATCTGGGCAAGTGAGGCCAGGGCCCAGTAACAACTCACCCAGCCAGTGGACACACATTTGACACTTTTTGTTTCTCCTTGGTGGCTCTCCCTTTAATAAAAGTGGTGGCAACCAAAAAGTGTGCACTTGTTTTTGGCTTGGTCACTGGCCAAGTGAGGAAAGGCGCAACGAAACTCGTGTGAGACGCCCAGGATTTTAATGGACAGCGAGGAGGAGAGTGACTTTGACTGAGGAGGCTACGGCACCGCCCTTTGGCGACAACAGGGTCAGGTTGCCCCCCAATCAACCTCAGAGTATTAATAGGCGTCAACATTATATTTGGCCGTGTCTTTTTTAGGAATCGGACCCCCAAAATGGCGGCTGTCCTTTGCTTTGCCCTAAAACCACGCCCAAAAAGGGGGGGACCACCAACAATCGACACATCCCATTTGTTCAATTTGTGCAGTCCCGCTATTTAGCACCCAGTTGAGCTTTCGTTGTTTGAATTGCTGAATTGTTGGGACCAAGGCACCAATAGAGGCCACTTACGGGGTGCCGAAATCAAACCCGCGCCGACTTTACCGATGGGATGATCTCCCATCTGCTGAAATGAATATTGGTTGATTTGTCCTTTTTTGGTTTGACAAGCAATCTATCACTACTGGAAATATGTTCTCAATTTTCTCCAGGGGGCAAAGAAGCAAACGGAAGTGATTGGTTGCTGTCAATGCAATGTGTGAACGTTGCTTTACGATTTGTTTACCAGGGAAAATGCTTGCTGGCCACTTTGAAGGGCCCGAAAGGTGATCACCAAGGATGTCCAGGCCCTTCAAGGTAGACCAACTTGCAACATGCCGTGGGAAAAACAGCGCCCCACTCGCCAGCATGTTTTGTTCAAGACGGATAGCCGGAAAGCCGGAAACATCCCATATCCACATGGGCTGTTACGACTTTCCCACCGCCTGAAACTAGGTTCCCCAGTAGTGCCTTTTCTCACCTTTTTTTGGGGAGGGTTCCGCTGCTAAAATAGACTACAGAAAAAAGGGTACCCTTATTCTAACCTCTCTGAAAAACCTAATAAAGATAGACTTGATTTTTGGAGATCTCCATTTCTGGCGACATTTTCCCTTTTATGGGGAAGACTAGAAAGATGGATTTGGGGGCCCACCCTCCTGAAATACCTCATGCGTGCCACAGATCTCGCCCTACTCCCTTGGAGCTTTTGGGTCTATTTTAGTGGGGATTGGGAGGTTCACTGGGGGTACGATTTGGATTTTGACCCCTGGCCATGGTTTGGCTATTTTCGTGTAATCAAAATATGAAATCGACTCAGACAGCGCACTTTTTGCTCTCCAGGGTTGGGCCGAGGTTCTTGAAAAAAAGAAGACAAAACAGAATGGGTGGGCAGTACTTGGCTCTGGGATTGCTGTCGCCTTTGGGCTTGGAGCCCGCGTGAACCTTTCAACTTGTGTCAGCTGGTTCCGCGAACTCGCAACCAGCTACTGTGAGGGCTGAAGTAACGAAGTAGGCCAATTAGCATGAAGGAAGCGGCTGGGTAACCGGCTGGTCTTTTGTTGACTTCCTGGCAGAAAGACTGGGTCCCCCAGTAGTGCCCTTTCTCACCCTTTTTTCGGGGAGGGTTCCGCTACTAACATAGACTAAAGAACAAAAGGGTACCCTTATTCTAACCTCTCTACTGGGACCTGGAAGACATAGGTGTCCTTTTCAGGCTAGTTTGGATTGAAAATACATGGGCAGTGGTTCAGATGGGGTCTATTTCATTTGCCTGGACCATCGATCTTTTTCAACTGCCGCCTATGTGCAAAGCTTGGTTTCCCCCAGGAAAAGTGTAGCATTCAACTCTTGAAGTCCGTGAACTGGGTCCCGAGGTGCAAAAGGACGACGGGATTTGGAGTCTTTGCCGAGGGGGGGGTGGGGTCTGGTTCCTTCCCTTAGTGGCCTTTTGTGAACTTCCAGCTGCTTGACGATGTTTGTTAGTTCCCCTCTTGGTGTTATCTCACTTCTAGGAAGACATCTTGTTCAGTGGCACTACACAATTTCAGACCTCTTCTAGCCAATCCAGGAAGTGAGTTCAAGGGAACTTGTCACTACTGCAAAGGTTGTGTAGTGTCCTTTGAGAACTTCCGTTTGCTTGAGATGTTTCCCCTGTTGGTGTTAAGGGATCCTACTGTGGATGGACGAAATCCATTTCGCACCACCCAAGACACCATGGGAAACCATTGTTGGTTGTTATTTACAGGGGATCATATCATTCTATGGTTTCTGAATGGTGGTGCGAAATGGATTTCGTCCATCCACAGCATTTTCCCCTGTTGGTTCAAAGGGATCCTGTCACTCGAAGCATGTTCTCCACTTACTCTTGACTGCTATTGGGTTGGATCTTTAGACTTTAAGTTTTGGGAAATAAAGGTGGTGTTTTCTACTAAATCCCCTCGTTGCAGCAACCAAGTGAAACACATGGAAGTGAAGCACACGATGACATGCTTTCGCTGAGGTCTCAGGTGCCCTGCGCTTCTCAAAATTCACTTTTGCCGCCGCTTGACCGCACAGCGACGCGACGAAACTCCAAGCGTTGCCCCGAAAAGACGCGAAGGGAAGCTCCCCTGAAGTCAAACAGGGGGCACTGAATTTCGCCGAATCTTAATCAACTTACAGTTGTCCATGGAAACGATTGTTTTCCATTTGTGGAGCTTCCAAACAGGGACATGGAGGGAGATGGTAAGAACAAATTCGTAGTTTCTTTTCGGAACCAAAAGAAACGATCTGCTTCTTTCATCCATTGCCCAGGCTGGAGCTATTGCCGAAGAAACAGTGCTCTACGACCCTTTGCACATAATGTCAACCCTTGATTAGCAACCCCCAAAGGGGGTCCACTGGAAGCAAAGGACTCCCAATCAAAAATGATGATTACTCGGGGGTTTCATTTCCATTTGCTGAAATGTGGTTGTGTTTTTTGAGGGCACCCTTTCGCGGGGAAGCGAAGAACACCAACAGGGAAGCGACCATTTTTTGATGAAGGGAGGTGTGGAGCGAATCCATCCGATTGGCGCCAAGTCGGAGATTCTGGGGGAAAAGGCGGGAGGGAAAAGGCGGGAGGGACCCAAAGATGGCCTGAAAAAGGTTTCATTATGTTTCATTGAGGGCTTAGCCAGAGCCTGTTTGGGCTCCCTCCCCCAGCCCCCTCCCTCCCTTCCGGGTCCCCAGGTGCCATGAGCATGAGTCAGGATCTTAGATGCGTCACCCTCTCCAAGAGAGCGGTCTAGATGATGCAGCCTGCGCAGCTTGGCAAGGAGGCGAGCCATGGTGCGCAACTCTGGGAATACGACACGGGCTGAAACCTCAGTTCTTCAGTGGCACCAAGATATGTTTCCTTTTTTTTGGGTGGCCGCCCCACTAAAAATGGTCCAAGCCCCAAAAAACTGGTCCCCCTTTCGTTTCCAGGGTCACTGAACAACTGAGAAACGCAGGGCAAAAGTGACTGATCTGCTATGTGTCTACACACGGCTTCTGACACGGCGCGATCACCCAGTGGTGTGAAAATTGTAGGTGGGAATGTGTTAAAAAAAAAAAAAAAAAAAAAAAAAAAAAACCTAAGAGGTTTGGTCAACATTGCAAGGTTTTTGGTTGCCACTTTTCTGCTAAGCTGCTTCGCCCATGGTTTGCTGCCAATTCTGTCACACTTACCCCGTCCAAGACCCCCTTGTCAGAACCACGGGACGATTTCGAAGGGATCTTGGGTTTGGGGGGCATCTTTTTTGGGGGCAGGCCAAAGAGTATCCCCACCCTCTAATTGATGGAAAGGGAGGTGCACATCCGTTCAGTTCAGAGGGACTTCTGTTCCATGGGTTCCCTCCGGGAAATGGGCGCGTAGAACAGGCAACTTTACACCAAAGCGTTGCCAAATCCAAGAAGCAGTTTCCCGAAACTAGTGTGGATGGACCAACTCCTGCACCACTGGTTTGTCCCAATCAAAATTTACGTTGGGTTTTGTTGATCCCATCCCAACTGGAAATTGTCTATCCACAGCATTCTAGCCCCATTCTTTTCAGCCATCGTTCAGGACAAATGGAATTGGAAGGTACCCCTACATCTGCAGCAATGGGCCATGGAACACATCCGCATTTCTGGCCGCAAGGTGTCCGGAAAAAACTGGCAGAAGGTGTTCCTAGATTTCGTGGAGAATCATCACTCTTGGAGGGGCCCCACCCTATAAATACACTGGGGTTGATGAATATGGCCATGAATTTTAACAGGGAACCACCTCATCTGTGGTTGGTGGACATGAATCCCCACCTAAATAATGTCCCCCAAAGGGTCCCATGCCCATATGGGGTCAACATGGGTTGGCGTGCTATGGGCTAGGGGCCCCAAGAGGGTCTTACATGTTGGATAGGGCAGTGCCGACCTTCACTTCCAACGAGAAAGCTGAGGTAAACAAAAAACAAAACAAAAAAAAACGGAAGGGTTGCACCGTCCAAAAAGTCCTCACTCCCGTTCGAGTTCCGGAACTCGGACTTTAGCCGCTTGGGTTTGGCTGCCATTTTGGTATAAAGGTTGGACCTTGAAACAGCCCATCCACTCGAGAGGTGAGATCATGTGGCGGTTTCTGAAAATTAGGGAATTTGCAGATGCTTGGTTTTCTTTTGGTTTCAGACCATCCAAAGGGGGTCCCCCTATTTTGAGACAGCCATGCAAGTGAACAAAGGGGTTGGAAGACTGGCAGCCTCGTTAATGAAAAAAGAGGCCGCTGCCCCCCTTCTTTGGCTGCAAAAGGGTGAACTTTTTTGGATATTTGGTACCGGACCTTTGGACTTTAACTTGTTGGTTGAAACAGGTCGGATTGTCCATTGGCCACACCAAAAGTTAAACTTTTGCAGAGAGGACAACAGCAACCAAGTAACGGGTCCCTTGTCAGCGTCGACAGTGAGTTCTTCGTTCTTTGCAACCCACGTGGCATGAAAGGAGCATGTGACGCCTTGTCCTGCAAACCTCTTCATGGACATCGTTTCCAAAAGCTGACTCCCGGAGTTCCTGTGTTTTGTTGTTTTTTTTGTTTGGAAGCCCATTTTAGTGGTAAGCCAAGTTGGATTTTCTTAGGTCAGAACCTGCCGGCGAAGCCTGGTAAACCAGCTTTCTCTTCACGTTTCTATTGCTCGCGCAAGGTCACTTCCCCAGAATTAGCTCCCTTCTTAGACCTTCTTTTTTTATTTTGCTTTTCTTGGGTCCCCTTGTTTTCCACTCACCAGGCAAAAAACTACAAATAAACATAAAAATGCTGGAGTCCGAATTCCAGCCTGGGTCCTTTGGTGCATTTTGCTTGGATGTTAGGACTTTAACCGTTTGCCAACTAATGGATTTTCCTTTAAACCACTAAAGGTTCAACTTTTAGCAGGGGAGCAGAAAGCAACCGAGGGTCAGTGGCTCTGCCGTTTGCATCGACCGCCCTTGAGGTATTCCTTGCAGCAGTCCTCGAGCTCCCGGAGTTCTATGCCCGCTGGGTCCCAGTGCAGAAAATATCCTTGCCAGTTGCCCAGTGGGTTGCTTGTTTTTTCAACTTTTTTTGGGGGGAAGGCTTCCCTTTAAACTCAACCAACAAAAAAGGATGCCCTTGTTTCCCCCTGGGCATCTGAGCCTTTGGTGCTCTTCATTTATGGCGGTGGAATTGTTGTTTCATTACTTCCAGTTGCCGAAGAATACTTTATATTTTGCCCTGTTGTGGTTTAAAGGGACTCTATCACCATTGGACATATTTTTCTTGATTTTTGTCTTTTTTTCCAGGGGGCGGATGAGCAAATGGAAGATGACTCTCCCGGCGGAAGCTATGAACTTCAGTGGCTCTTTGGACATGCGCGTGCCTAGCACAAGTTGGCTCGGCCGCCAGGGACCGAGGAGCCGAGAGTCAGGTGGTGTTTTTTCGCTTTTTGCGGCGAGGGCGTGTTCTGAGGGTCCCCTTTTTAAAGGTGGAGATCATGGCAATGTAGATGAACAACCCCCTGGTTGGCTTGAAGAAAAGGAATACGAAAAGGTGTTTTGTACCTCCTTACCTTGGCACTTGGTTGTGGCCATGGTGTAGGACTTCCCATATGCAAATCGAACAGAAGTATATAAGTATATATATATATATATCTATTTATATATACGTATGTATATATTTATGTCCAAACATGTAGATGCATATTTGTACAGAGAGGCATATCTATGAGCTTGCTTCTCTTGGCTTGGAGCTGGTTTTTCTGGCGGCCTACTTCGAAAGACTTGACGAGCGAGTCAAGGTGCTGCCGGCGTGGATTGGCCAAAATCAGGCGTGCCCGTTTCCGGAAAAAGTTGCTCAGTTGCTCAAAGCGACTCGACCTGAAATTCTGAAATGACCTTTTTGGTTCTCCCATGTTGGCCCATGTTTAGTCAACGCCCAACTTTTGACCTTGTGCTTTTCCCATGTCGATTTCCCACGTTTAGTGGCCCCAGGAGATGATCATCTTGTATTTCTGGGTCCCTAAGGATCAAGTGAGCATGCCCATGTTTTGGGCAGGCATAGCTTGGGATGCACATGTGCAAGAAATGTATCTTATATCTCGCGCGCACAAGCCTTGGACATGGCAGACTTATTTGAAGAGGTCTGAACTCTCGAACTGTCCATTATTTGAATTGTGCCATATAAATGGCAGACATACATATCCACAGAGGTTATTTTTTGCATTTTGCTTGGATGTTAGGACTTTACCTTTTTGCCAACTAATGGGTTTTCCAGTAGACCACTCAAGTTTATTCATTTTTAGCAGGGGAGCAGAAAGCAACCGAGGGTTGGTGGTATGTAGCTTGCATAGCTCCTGTTCTCACGCCTGAAAATATCGCCGCAGCGCTGCGCCGCACCGATTGGAACTGAGCGTGGGATTTTCGGCACGACTCGAGAGGAGCAGCGTGCCTCCGGCAAGTCGAGCAGTGCGCCTGGCATATGACATGCTTGGTGGCTCCCAGCCATCGGGTTCCTTAGCTTTTCAGAATTGTAGGGTTTAGTGGGGGTTTCCATTTAACCTACTAAAAGTTAAACTAGGTCCCCCAGTAGTGCCTTTGTACCCTTTTTGGGGGGAGGGTTCCCCTACCAAAATAGACTACAGAGAGAAGGGTACCCTTATTCTAACCTCTTTACTGGAGGACCTAGGATATGTGAGCAGCCCCGTTGATCATAAAACTGGTCAAGCACAGGTGGAGTGACCCTTCTGATTGGCCATCCCTACTTAAAGACTGAAAGGGGCATTGTACTTAGTAAGTGGGTAGTAACCATGGTTATAGCCCACTTACCATGGTTGTAAGTCTAGCAACCCAGCCACACCCATATGACTCCAAATCAGCAGCAAACCCTTTTGTTTGGCCAATGTAAAGAAGTTCCCCATATGTCCGCCCCTTGCTTGGCATCCTCGCTTTCAGCAGACTGTGAGAGGCGCAGTGGGATATAAAGGCGTGAAGTTTTTGAGGTGCAGAAAGGGTATGCGGTATATGAACCATCAAGGCTTCAGCTTGATATTTGTTATCTTGTTGCATGACAGGGCAGATCATTCGACTGCCTCGCACAACTACTGGGAAAAGAGATCCTCGATGTCAATCGTGCTTTGGCAGATCCTTTGCCAAGCGGATTTGTAAGGACCCTGTTTGATCTGGTCGCCTTATCGGCAAGATGCCAGTGCGCACAACCAAAAGGCGGATCGACGTTGCCCTTTTCAACTGCGCGGGGCATAAGCCGTGCGTGAGAGGAATTGAGCGGGGCGCAACCTGCCCCCTCAATGCAGATGCCAGCTGTGCTCAGCAGGAAAGTTGGCTGAATGTACAGGACAACTTATTCCTAGACTTCATGCTCTTTGAGAATATGTTTTTAGTGACGTACAAACAGTTTGGTCTGGTTTAGCCAATCCACAAGGGATGGGGCTTTAAAAGGAATGATATCCTGTACCCACATTGATTTCGAGCCAAACGCGATTATTCGTACCATTCCGTGAATTCCGTGAGTCCCGTGGCTGAAAATTCAGTATTTGACTCCCGAAAAATGCGCCTTGGAGCATTGCAGGCATCGATTGCACCCCATGATTCTCATCCTGGACGGGTGCTTTTGGCTCCGGATTTTCCAATGTCCAAGTGGGTTGCGTTCCCTAAAAGCTTCCCCTTGGCACACTTCCGGCAAGACAATATCTCCCTCGTTCTCCGTGACGGTTGGGAATAAGAAACCCATGGTTTCAAACACGGATTCCGTATGCGGTGCAAAATGGAGTTCGTCCATCCGCAGTATTACCGGATCCTTGGACACAGACTCAGCCCGCCACCAGCACCGCCCGTGCTGCCAAATTGGCGTCACTTAGGGGTAAAACACAAACAACGTCACTTTTTGGCTAAGTGATGCTTTGCTGGATTTTCGCAAACCCCCTAAAATCGGACGAATATACGAGGGCAGGGGCGGGGCAAAAAGGCAGTGTGACCAAAGTCAGCACGCTGTGCGCCAACCTCAGCACAAAACCTGCTCATGACCCTTACAGCAAACGGCCATGCAAATCTCCATCGCTCGTCACGAGCATGTCACTTGCAGGTCGTTTGCTCGGCCTGCGCGTCGCTTGCGCGTCGCCTCGAGTCGCTTGCGTTTTGCTCCGTGTCACTGGGGTGTCGCTTGCGTGTCGCTTGCGTGTCGCCCGGTGTCGCTTGCGTGTCGCCCCGTGCCGCTTGCGTGTCGCTTGCGTGTCGCTTGCGTGTCGCTTGCGTGTCGCTTGCGTGTTGCCCTGTGTCACGCAGAGTGAAAGTGCTGCTTTGGGGCCCCAAGGCATGACATTTTAGCCCCCAAAGCATCACTTCGGCTGCGAAAGCGTGTCGCTTGCGTGTCGCTTGCGTGTCGCTTGCGTGTCGCTTGCGTGTCGCTTGCGTGTCGCTTGCGTGTCGCCTGCGTGTCGCCTGCGTGTCACGTGCGTTTCGGCCAGCGTCGCTCACGCGTCGCCCTGCGTCGTGCTCGCTTCGCCTCGTGTCGCTTGCGTGTCGCCCTGTGTTGCCTGCGTATTGCCCCGTGTCGCCCCGCGTTGCCCCATGCTGCTTTTCGCTAAAGATTTTCAAAAGCCTTTGCTAGCAATTTTGTCCAGATCTAGGCTCACAGTGGGGGTGGCAAATCTGCAGACAGTTCTTCTGGCCGCGAGCTTGGAAAACGCTTAGCAGACTCAGCTGCCATGAATGGGCTGAGAATGGTCTCCAAACTGGTGGGTTATAGGCCTGAAGTGCTGCCGATTGCATTTTTTCACAAGTGCCTTCAAATTGGCGGCACTTTCACAAAATTGAGAACAACAGTCGTTGGGTGGTCCTGGCAGGTACATGAGCCCCCTTTTTTGTCAGATTCCATCTCGCTGGTCCAAAGCGAATCGAAGGCGACGGTTTGCCCTTGGCCCAGTCTTTTTGCCCCAAGAAGTGATCAATGTCCAGGCCCAAAGTGTCAGTGATCTCAGTTTGGGCCTTTTTGGTTGGGAAATCTTTGATTGTTCGGACCTTATGCCATGGCTGAACCGCCACAGCAAGCAAAGCGAGTGTTTCCGGAATTGGGTGCTGGGTAGGCATAGGGTTGAAACGCACCAAGAAACCAAAAGGGTGTGGCTAGGGTTGTGATTATTTCACAGCCGGTATTTAGCACAACTGTCCTGGGCGGTGTTTGAGTTTGAGACAGCGTTATTCGAAAACGGGCCATCGCGTTTCTCTTAAGACGATGTTTGAAAGAGGCGACTCGGTGCAAGCGCGCATGCAGCGCATGTATGTGTCTATCGCCCTACAATGCCCATGTTCAATCATTGGTCTATCCCTGGAACCCGGCGGTTTTCCTTGGTGTTTGCGAAATGGAGAGACACCATGTCAGTTTCCGGAGCCATGCATCCACGAAGCAAAGTTCGCCGTGAGACGGCGAATCTGGGTCTCCTTTCAGGCCCTGGAGTCCCAGTTCTGCGTGGACTTAAATGCGCCACGCGAATCCTTTGTGACCCACGGAATTGATGCAAGGCGCGCCGGAAAGAGCTCACGGAACACGGCGCCCTCAGCCAGTCACATGCAACCTGCAGATAGCGCCGGATGTCACTCGCAAGCTGCTGAGGTCCTGCAAAGTGCTGCCAGAACACATGAACACACACAAACACTACGAACAAACAAACAAAAACAAACAAACAAACAAACAAACAAAAAAACAAACAAACAGTACCGCATACACACATCCCCGTTTTTCGACTTGCTTATTTCAGTTCGGCGGCTTTGGGTGCACGTGCCGTAACTCCTTTCTCAAATCAGCGCACTGTAGGTTTTGCACCTTCGTGCTGTGCTTGTAAAGCCCTTCGAAGAAGACTCGTGCAAAAGACTCGGGCCGCTGTGTTGCAGACGTTTGACCAGTGCCTTCCCATTCCATGCTTGTTGTTGGGAAACATTTTACATTTTTGCTTATTGTGGTCTAGTGGGAAATCCCCACTGAAAGGCTAAATTGTAATTTGTTGCTCCCCTTCCAACGTCAACCAAGATTTTTGGATTGTTTTTTCACAGGTTTCCTCTGGGGTCCCATCTGAATTACTCTGAGCAAAGTCAACGTTCATTTGTCAGGCAACAAGTGGTGTGTGTTGCGCTTTTTCTCTTGCTAGGGTGGAGCGGACGGGGGGGAGCAATTTGACAATTTGGGGAGTCCGGTTTCTTGGGCCAGATCGCTTGGCAGCTGCGGGGAATACATTTTGCTGAAAAATGGAACTGCCTAGATAGCCAAGTTGCTGCTTTTCTCACTCACTTCTGGTAAACTTCCCCAGAATTAGCCCCTTCTTTTATCTTGTTTTTTTTGTTTGCTTTTTTGGGGTCCCTTTGTTTTCCACTACCCAGTAACCAGTCAAAAAAGATCATGTGTTGGGGTCCGACTTCTCGCCTAGTAAAGTGCATGGACCAAAAGAAGCAAA